GAAGAAGAATCAGTTTCTCAAACTTCAACCGCGACTGAACCGATAGTTCGGTCGCATTAAAAATGCATCGTGGACGGAGAAGGCGAAGCAGATGGAATGCTACGCCGAAGGTTGCTTACACAAGGATGTCTTTGACTTCTTGAAGGCGACGTATGGACCGAGATTGGAGCGGCTGCTGACGCTGGTCGATTGTATCTCAGGCGTTACCTGTTCACAGACTGCAAACATAATTCAGATTTAGCAAAATACTTTGACTGTCTCTTGAACAACTGTTCGGAGATCGACTGGCCTATTTTGAAGGACCTTAAACAGTTCAATGCGAAGGCGAGTCTGGCAGACACGCCGACACTGGATGAGAAGAAGAGAGCACTTGCTCAACTGTGAAACGGCAAAGGTGCAGGGACCGAGAAGATCCCGCCTTAAGTAGTGAAACACGGTGGACCCACGTTGGTGACTGCGCTGCACCACTTGATGCAACTCGTATAGGTTGGCGAGGAGGTGCCTGCGGAGCTTCAGGATGCCCTTGTGTTATCACTGTATAATGGCAAAGGGAGTAAGCAATGTCGTACGAATTATCATGGCATCAACTTGCTGAGTTGTGTGGGTAGAGTGATTACCCGAATACTGTTCAACCACCTAGCCAGTCAGGTTGTGGAACCTAACGTGGCGAAAGAGTAGTGTGGACTCCTTTTGGGGCACAGCACTATAGATACGGTGCTTGCGGCTCGTCAGTTACAGAAGAAGTGTAGAGAATAACACCAGCCGTTGATCTTGCTTTTTGTTGCTTTCCCCAATGCATTTGATTCGGTGAATCGCGCGGCTTTGTGGCTGGTGTTGGGTAAGTTTGGTTGCCTGCGTGAGTTTGCAAGTTTAATTGAATGTCTGCATAGTGGTATGCGAACGAGGGTGCAGGTGAGTGCACAGACCTCGGATGACTTTGCAGTTGTCTCTGTTGTGAAGCAAGGTTGTGTCTTAGCTCCTGCCCCGTTTACTATTTAGCTTCATGCAATAATGTCATATGCTTTTGATCCGGCTTGTGCTTACGGTGTTCGTGTGGAGCACCGTATTGATTGTGGGTTACTGTGGGTTACTGTGGGTTACGGTACGAAGACCGTAATCTGTGTGAAAACTATCCGTATGTTGCTCTTCACTGACGACTGTACGTTGTTTGGAAACAACGCGGATGAGTTGCAGCACATGACTAATGCTCTGGATTTGACACTGGACACATTCGGGATCACCATCAAAGCAAGCAAAATTGTCGGTCTCTTCGCTTTCATCGGAAATGCAATCTGCAATATTGCTGCAGATCAGCATTGATGCTGAGGTATGAGAAATCACCTCTCGCTTCTGCTGCCTTGGGAATGTAATGTCGACTTACCAGCAGCTTCTCAGTGAGCTTCGTATCCTCGGCTCAAAGTCAGCAGCTGCATTCGGGAAGCTAGAATACCGAGTTTGGAACAACCAGCAGCTAACTGTTGGCACGAAGCTGATGGTGTACAAATCCATGGTGCTGTCCGATCTTCAATTCGGAAGAGAAGCTTCTACTGTATAACGTTGGGATATGCGAAATCTCGAGCGATTCCATCAACATTGTTTGCGACGGACTCGGCGCAGTTGTTGATGCGATAGAGTTGCGGACGCCACTTGTTGCGCCTAAGTGGCATGTATGCAGTGGACTGCATAATTTTTCTGAGACACCTGAGGTGGCTCGGTCATTCGTGGCGTAAGGATTCGACTTGGATACCGGAACAACTATTATATGGTCAGCTGAGCTTCTGGAAGCGGCAAGCGGGGAAACCGAATCTGCGTTTCCAGGACATGATCAATGTGAGTCACTCAGGTTCTAATCTTGATTGCAATTCATGGGGATTAAAGACGGTTGCTCGGCGTGCATGGCCGATCTGATCAAGAAGGTAGTTGCCGAAGTGCGGGAGAAAAACCTTATGCATACAGAGAAGAAACTGCACTTGCAGATGCGACAGGCGCCGATGAGTTGTACTCCATCAACATCAATTGCACGGTGCTGTATTACATGCGCTTGCGAGTACATGAGTCAGGTAAGTCTAGTGAGCCTTAAGGGAGGCCACTCGGGGCCACTACCAAAGGACGATGGCTCCTACAGAGAACGTAGGCAGAACAGGTGCAGCCTTTGTATGTATGCTGCATGCGATTTATTAACCGCTTGCTTGTATACTGGGTCTCTCTTTATTTCAGTTGTTGTGTTTGCTCTATTGTTGCACTATTGTCTAGGTGCACCGTCTTATATTGACTTGCACACGTCGCTCAAGTTAATAGTAGTTAACATTGAGAATATTCTCCCGTTTGCGACATTTTCTTGATATATTTTTTCTGACGTATTAAAACTATAGCGGAATTCTAAGCAAGCAACGTACTTCAAATGCTAATTTAGCGTACAGTTGTGTCTTTATAGCCGTATGCTTTCACAGATTTATTTTATTTGATAACCTAATTTCATGCCATTGGCTGTTGCTTGATATCCCCGGTGTAACTGCGCTTGATGTGTATGTTGGTAAGGTACTTACCTCCTTATTACGAAGTACCACGTTCATACTGGCTCCAGGAGACATTTGGTCCTTGCTGGTGGGGACGGAGTGCATGGTCCTTGTGGCCGTTCTAGACACGAAAAGTGGTCCCATGCACTCAGTGTGCAGTGGACCACGGTTCAGCCACCGCCTTGTGTGTGCTTGATTTCCCAAATACGGCGTGCTTGTGTTTGCCTGTGAAGAAGTGTGGGCCGGCTCCGTTGATGAAACATGGCTCCACTCCACATGCCTCCCGGTCTTATTCCTTCGGGTTTACACTGGATATGCGGTGTGTGGTTGGAGCTGTGGGTGGTGCAGCACAAGCCACCCATGTTCACTCTGTAGGCGCAAGCGTCCTGTGACTGGCCACAGTGACAGACAAATCCGGAACCGGATGCCGTCAACCATTTATTACTTACGATAATATGTGTTGGTATGACGTGTTTTAGCAAGCTAACAACACAGGAAAGATGCCCTTCACCCCAGCGTTTCTTGATGGGCAGTATCTTATGACAGAAAGAATCCACAAACCACATGCCATTTTTCGGTATAGACTAATTCACTATATTTTGAGAATTTAGTTTAATAATACTAGTACGGAGCAAGTACTATTTTGACAGTATCTCATTGACATAAGCAGACATGTCAGAGCCTGGAAACACCCAAATCTACCCTGAAGATCTAGTGGATCAGCTTTGAAAAATAGATGTATTGTAGGATTAGCAAAATTCATATATGTGTTCTACGTTACTTTTGACCACATTTGGAAAATATGGATTAGGAAATTTTATAGCTTATATGTTGCTGTGATAGAGCCTAAGTAAATTTGATGAATGATTTCACTTGGCTACACATAACAGAATATTGTAGTTTGGGTTAGCTCTCTTGTGGTGCGTCCAGTTATTTTCGTACAAACCGTTTCCGTACATAGTAACTGGCAAACTCTTACCTTTCCGCTTTACTTAGTTTTTTAATTTAGCAGTTATCTTAGGTAGCTAGTACTGAACGGGGACGGGCGTAACTGAAAAATAAGTTGGTGAAATCGAGCAACATTAGAAAATTGCAACAAGTAAATAAACTTCAAGTTATATGTCAAAATGAACTCATTCTCAGCCACCGCCGTATATTGATCAGAAACAAAGAACTGATCAAGGAAGCATCAATTATGTTAGTATTGCGAGGGGAATTATTGGCATTCCACTCGTAATTGACTGAAAAGTGTTATTCTGTAGCATTTACGTTAATCGATGCTGGTTTAGCTAAAGTGTTTTTCAAACGCTGGAATTAATTTTGAAGTTGCGTTTAAATAAAAACGAACTGACTAAATTTCTATACAAAATAAATTTATTTCATCGGCGACTTTGACAAGGATACCAAATCACCGTACTGGAATACTAGCCATGAATGATTACATCTCTTTACCTCTTTTTAGGATGGCAAGTAATATAACTTATCGGCTGCGTGTCAGAATGGTCAACAGCATGGTTACACACAATTTACAAATAAAATGGTTATTCGCATGTAGAGTGAGTCACTATGTAACGTACGTAGATTACCTGGGCAGTAGTTAGAAAGAATGTTATTAACGGTGAAATATAAATTTATAGTTTTGCAGCTATTCCGGACGGAGTTATAAATGTTGACTGAATTCTGATTTTCATAATGGAAGCAGCATGCTTAGTTTATGGGTAAATCATTCGTCTACGCTACGTTTGATGCAGTGTCTGTTGTGGTGAACACGGTTACCAAAACACAACAAACAATACACAAAATAGTTTATTTGATGTTAGTTAGTATAAAGGTGCCCAGGGAAGGCTAGCGTCATTTAAATGTAGTCCTGTAACTATTAGTCGGTAGTTGGGTGAGCGGCAAGCGTGCGCGGGAAATTGTGATTTGAAGTCTAAATGGCAAGATTTTTGTAGAGCCACCAAAATAAGTTCCTACACACTAAAAGAAAATGGGCTTTGTATAGCACTGGAAAAAAGTAGAATTATGTATGCTGGAGTAGTTTGCTCATGTCAAAACGGACTAATTGCGAAGTCATCCAGGTGTAAAACTTAAGGATTTCACAAAATACACAAATCTTTGTTTATGATGGCAAAAACATGCTTTCAGACATGGATCTTATCCGTGTGGCTTGCAACCATGGCTGCAATCCGCAAATGATTCCCTACGTGTGTAAAAAAGCAAACTACAAAACAATGGATGAATTAAACCGAAGACGGTTGAACTCAGTTGTAAATGTGTCCACCATCAATCATGTGGTCGGTTGCCTGAGTTCCGGTTTTTGCTACCCATACACTGTTTGGTTTTGGGGCGGGAAAAGTAAGTAAAACTCTAAAACCGTATGGGTAACTTCCATAAATATTTTATGACTGGTTAATGTTTAGCTCATATTTGTCTATAATGGTAAGTTAGCTGACTTATATAACTTTGGTTTCTCTTTAACTTTAGCAAATGGAAATATATTCGTATGGAAAGTCCTATCTTGGAAACTGATCGTGACAAGAAAGGATAATGGCCCACATCACCCCACATTATTTTGTCACGTGGAACACGATCGACAGAAGGTATCAAAGCAAACTTCAATGAAATATAAGAGAAGTGAGTTATGTTTTTTAAAGGACTACGTTGGTATAGTATTGTAGTACATGTCTGTAAGAAAAATAACTGAACAGACTGATACTTTGTTTATGAGAAGGAAGCGACGTTGTTATCACACACAATAAGCAATGCTTCAATGCACGCGACTTGTTCCTGGTACTAAAAGTTTGAAAATGTTTCACCATGGTGTTTCATAGACGTAGCGTAGTTGATTTCTCGGTCTTGCTCGTTATGTTTATGAATAACATCCCTTACTTCCCGTATTATCCAAAGTGTTGGAATCAATTATCTCAGATGCGCTGATGCGGTATCTGGAAAGCCACCATTTAATAGCCTCAGAGCAACATGGCTTTCGTCAAAAGCATTCGTGTAATACTAACCTATTAATTGCACCTAATAGCTGGACTGAAGCTGTTGATGATGGAGTAGGAGTCGATGTCATCTCCCTGGACTTTTCAAAAACGTTTTTTCGCTTAGACCATCGAATTCTGCTTCAGAAGCTTCGGAATTACGGCATTGGCGACCCAATCCTGACTTGGATTGGTAATTTTCTACAAGAACGACGGCTAGTGGTGAGAGTCCGAGAAACATTTTCTCATGTGATCGATGTGGCGTGTAGAGTACCACAAGGCTCGGTTCTTAGATATCGTCTATCCCTTGTGTTCATTAACGATTTGGCGAGATCAATTACTTCCGATTTCCTATTCTTCGCTGATGATATCAAGATTTGGCGAAGGATCAGAGGACCGGACGACCATGGACGGCTCCAGTGCGATCTTAACACAGCGTCGAACTGGTCAGTTAAAAACACCCTACCATTCAACGTAGACAAATGTCGCGTTGTACAATTACGCCATAGACATAACTACACCTATTTACTTGGGACAAACGGATTGCAAATAGCGCCCACGAACGTGACTTTGGTGTGATCGTACAGAGCGACCACAACTGTTCAAAACAAGCTGAGGTAGCTGCGAAAAGAGGCAAATAGCACCTCGGCATGCTGCGAAGAGCATTCGGGAGATCTGACCCATCAATCTTCCCAAGGATGCACAATTCCTACGTGCGCCCGCATGTTGAATACGCAATCCAAGCAATGCAAACTTGGTTGAAGTGTGACCTAGAGGTGTTAGAGGCACCACAACGGAGAGCAACAAAGAACCTAAAGGACCTGCGCCATCACCCTTACCACCGAAGGCTGAAGTTGCTGGAAATTTTCAGCGGACGCTATCGAAGGCAATGCGGCGATCACATATTAACGTATAAGATACTGAGTGACCCCAACCACATATGTCGCCATTTGCTGCAACTTAGCCACAACAGGCAGCTAAGGGATAACTGCTTAAAATTGAAGGAAATATATAGCCGTCCAGAGTGTCGACATAATTACTTTTCCCTTCGGGTTTGCCAACCCTGGAACGTACTGCCAGACTCAGTTGTATCCTCTCCTACCTTGGATGTTTTCAAAAACGATTAGATGTTGTTCCTAGCTCCCAGCATTTTGTTACCTAAACTCCTCAATTGTAGATAAGGCCAAGCATATTTTTCAACCGGATTTATGTATCAAATAGACCTAAGTGAGCGACAATATTTTACTTTTCTCACTCCTTACATCAACGATCACCGCACCCCAGTGTCTGTCTAAACGTTTACGTTCGATGATTATTTTAAAGTTTACACTGATGTTAATTCTCAAAGTATTCATCTCGACAGATATTCGGTAGATGACCAAGATATATTTTGATTTCATCGTAATCACCCCAACCATCCTGTGGGATGTGTCAAGCACTTGCTTTTAACCCGTGATAAATCCTTGTTCATTGTTCATCAAACGACAATGTCAACTGTAAGAGCAAGCCGATTGGTTAAAATGGGGTCTGACACTTCTCTAACCAATCACACTGAAACTAGGATTTGTTCCATCGCTGTAAATTTGGAGTTAGCGTTAACTCACCGACATGTGTCAGAAGTGTGAAAATAAGTTCATTCTTTAACTGATACTTCAAAATATCCCAGTGTGCAGTTGGTGCAGTCTACTCAACTATGAACTGCTGTTCTCTTTTGTGTTTTCTCCAGCGTGCTACAACCCTTTGTTATTTGGAACACACCTTGGAATATACAGAATGCGAAGCATATGTGGCAAAACACTGGGACCCGGTTTTCTTCCATTTCGTGTTTGGCCTTTCTATTCCCTACTTTTGTTTTTTGAGTTCAAAGTCTCTATGGCGCAGAGTGAGTATCAGGGGGTTTGTAGTATTAGAACAAAACAATGTAAACAGATAGTACAATATTCGTATGAGTTTAGTAGAACTTTAATCACTGGAGGTTCATGATTTTACATGATGTTCTTCGCTCAGGAGTTATCTTTATCCCAGAGTTTTACTGTCACTAGCGTGGGCATCATATTTCCTTGCAGTGCTAAGGGGTTATCTTCCTAAGCATAAATTCTTCATCTATGTCACTGTCCAAAGGATAACAGTAATCATTGTTTTTCTTTGCACTGGTTATTGGGATGTGATTAAAAATACCGTTTGGTGGAGAAAAAGGACAACGGAAGTTTATTTCCTATGGCTACTGCCATGTTTTGTCTAGAAAATAGTGATGTTTATCAGCTTCGCTTTTCATCAAAGCTTATGTTGATAGGCACGCGTATGAGTGATGATCGTCGCTACCTCCAGAATCTGGCAAAAATACTGACCGGTGAAACTTAAACACCCTAACGACTGGACTATCGATTACACTGTAAAAATTCTCCAGGAAAATATGTATACTACTTTTGAACCATTAGCTGGAACTGCTAGAAATTAGCTATACTCTAAACACATTGTGCTTGTCTGCAATAACATTGTCAACTCACAGTTTAGCAGTTGGGTGATTTAGTTGTGTTATCTTGATTATTTCTTGCTTTATATTTACTGCATAGTACTTGTTGTTAGTCATACAACCGTTGACATTCCTATCGGCAGCATATTTTGTTCAACTGATATCACCTATCTTACTTATTCGTCATCTACTCCTGGGAAATTAACGTCTTTATGCACTTTAATTTACTATTCAATAGATAAAGCTTGCAGCTCATCAGCCATGATCCAGTGGCGTAACTATTTGCAATTTAACACTTTTAGCATTCAGGTTTAAATGTTGCAATATATCGGCTGAACACATATGGAAACGTTGGCTGGTGCTCTGTTTGAGTCCAGCTTTGACGAACCGATTGTGAATAATACATTATCTGTTAAAATGCACAGCGTCCCAAGGTGGTCATATAAATAACGTCAATACGAAGAATTTTTTCAACAAAAGTATTGCTCAAATTGCGCAATAGGAAAGGTTATTAATATTGTGGTCATAAGAAAGAGTAATTCGTAGACCTTTCTGAACAATGAACAAGAAAATATTCCCTATTTTTACACCAACCGTATAGTAATTATAGATCTATGAAAATTCCGATTTATTATGGTTATTTCTGTGTGAAGTACTATGTTGTACAAGATCACGTTAGGCAAAATGTTTATAATACAATGAGATATTTTTTGTCCTGCCATATTTTTAGGGTGGTGCATTTTTCCAATATATTGCAATGAAGTCGACAGTAAATTAGATTTTAGCCAACTACATAAAATTGCAATATCACCTGTCACTGAATATTTTTGAGTCTCAAGCAGCATGTTCCTCCTAAGAAATCCATCGATAATTTTATTTATTTAAGATGATATTTACTCAGAACTATCCTTTTAAAGTTACTTTCTGAATCCAAAGTTAAAAAGAGCGTTATCAGCGTGAAACACATCCCTAACATCATATTATTTGTTTTTAAAAAACCGATGACTGGGCTTCGGAACTTTGTTTGCCATTCAAACTTATATATTTGCAGTTTAGTATTCACTTTGGCAAACATAGAATTTACTTTATTCTCCCCGGTTTGACTAGATTTACGAAATAGTATATAGACAGTCGGTTAGTTAGCTCCCTTAACACAGGTCATTAGATAACTTTTAATGTCAGTCGAACAGCAAGAACAGCTTTGTGGAACTAGATGGAAATAGATCCGTAGAATTCAAATATGAGCTTTACGTGTGTTAGTGACAACTGAGGTCCATTTTATGTTTCACAACGATAGGTCACAAGTGTACACTGTGGAAACTTCGTTCACTCGTGCCAGGTTTATTTGTTCGAGTGACGGTTTGATTATATAGAAAACGTTTATTACCAGAACCTCGATGGAATACGGTTACAGCAGAGATTTCATTGTCGGCCAGTCGCTGAGAAGATTATGTGCTTTCATCGTAATCCGGAGACCACTAGCTCTATACCGTATGGGTGCGGGCAAACTAGGGGTATAACCCGCCCAAATGCGAATAACGGTGGTCGCGTGAAGGCTATAAGTCGGTTGGGTGTGCTGGCGAATTGCTGATGCCAAACCAAGAAGCACAGTCAGGTTAGGCCACCAAAAGAATTGCTATTAACGGCGGTAAAGAAAAAGACCTACATCGCGCCTCCACTTAACAGTAACACCGTCATCAAGAAGGCAACCAAGCGCTGAATACTTATCATTCATATAACATGTGCCATAGAAGGTACAGTAGTTACTTCAATCCTAATGATATTGCCGCCTTCAGCAAAGGCAAAGGAGGCCATCGGAGCAAATGTATATTGTGTCGAACAGCTTATTTTTACTGCAGAGTCACCTACTAGGCAGAATGGAAGGATTTGTATTCCAGCGTTGAAAAGTACTTGCCCAAATAGGCATCTAGAGCAACCAGAAGATATAGTTAACTCTAAGTAAAGGGTATCGATCCACTGAACTACAAGTGATTAACGGCTGGAGAAGTATCAACCTTTTGTTCTCATTTCATAAAATGATGGTCGTCTGCGATTTATTTTCTCATTTAAACTGATTTTTGCAATTTAATTACGCAAGGGAAGGCAACGCATTTAACTCCACTGAGTGCAACGCACAATATTTCACAGCACTGCTAGAATTATTTTGGAAAGGAGGTGTCAACTAAGCATCATAATAAACATGCATCTTCAATTGGGTATATTGCATTTACCCAGTCTAACGTTTTACGCAGATGTCGACTAGAAAGTTAACGAATCACTTTAAAATATTCAGTCTTTTGATAACCAACATTGCTGCTCGCTAAAAACCTATATCTGATTGAAAATTAATAAACATCTTTTAAGTTTTACAACCTGAGTACTAAATAAACTCGGTGTTTTCTTAGTCCGTAAAGGTGTGCTGAGCTCATTTCCCGGGTTCAATTTATTGGCAACCGCCAGGTTCGACAACAGCAGCAGCGGTCGCAAGTGATTTGGATGACAGCTTTTGCAATGCTCTAGTTAGAATTGTGCGCTGGTTGCGCGGTAGGCGAAACTTGCTACCTCAAGTCATTAGAGACCAATAGATTGCTGGTCGGTAATTTGGCGTTAGTTTGACAGAGTAACTTTCAGCAAGTTACAAATTAAAACGCCATAAGTCAACTGAAATGTGGTAATTTCGATCATACGATTGAATACCACGTAAGTCTACAAGGTAATTGGGGAACATAAATTCGCGTAACGCAAATTTAAAAAGGACGTTTAATTCGCCGTAATTTTGACCGGCCTAACAAGATCAAATATATGCATTTTTAAATCTCAGTGAAATACTAAATGTCTTGTTCACTTTCAACACGGCTTTCTTCTAAAGATTATCTGCAAAAACAGTTGTTTTGTATAAATACAGTGTTGTTTTGATTTTAAGTATAGCCTAAAGCTCTGGTAAAATCCATAAAAATACATATCTGAACAGTAAGATAAAAGCGGTATCGGCGTTCGATATATTCATAGCACAGATTACATAATAACCACCATACGTTTAAGTGCAGTGTTGTTTGGATAAACAAGTACAATATAAAAATTGCCATGGCACATTTCACCAGCTAAACACAAATTGCGATGAGAGTGATCTGCATTGAATCCGAGAAAATGAAATACTTAGGAGGACGTTACGTACATTTGTCAATGCGGGTTTCCTAGAGCAAGAGCAACTTTCAGGTTCTATGTTTTGCGGGCTGCGTTGTTTTAAATGGTTGTTCTTAAATGGTAAGCTCAACTTAGTTAAGTCAAAGGAAACCTAGTTGGAAAGGCTAAAACTTCTTCATCAAATGTCGAAACATTGCTCTTTCTTGAACGACATTCGTGCACTCGTGGATATTGTTTCCTACTATTCTATAGTGTATAGAATTGCTTGTATTCGTGCCGGAATCCACCGCTTAAACATTGCTATGAGCTTAAATAATCAGTTGAATGCACTATAAAGATTTAGTTCTCTGGGAAATGCACTATACTCCGTCACAGATAGGTGGTAAAACAATGAACCCAAACAGAAGCGTATACTTCTTATGAAAAAGCACCGGTAACTTGATATATTACTACGTTAGTTGGAAGGTACATGCATGTATATTCTGTTTTATGCACTACTTACTAAGGCAGTTGCTGCTTCGCCTACACTGGGAATATTGCCGAAGCAACGTTGGTGTAAACGTGTCAAGATGATGGTTAACTATGACGAATAGGTAATGGTTGTTTGATGCTCTCTTCACTCTGCATCAGTTGATCGCGCACAAACGTCGAATAAGAAGATGCAGTAAAATATCCTGCACTCTCAAACGGCTATGGATAAGATTCATATGCCCTCTTTCACAAGTCGATCTCGCCTCCCCACCTAGTTGGTCTATTCGCATCGGGTGCGTCAATGCCCCAAAGTACATTCGTCCTACATGGCGAGTTTGCCGCTAGCGTTACCGTAGTCCACGTATCAGAAGAAAACAAAATTGGCTGCACACTAATTTGTGGCTGACTTTAATGTAACCCATCTTGACGGCAAATTAGCGGAATTTGGAATGATTTGGGCTACTGCTGGTAAGACGTAATATGCTGGTGCAAGTAAACCCGTCGTCATTTAGCAGAATTGGCGACTGGTGAATTGTATAGCAGTCTTACTACACCAATATACGTCGTTTATTCCCTGAATGTTATCGGAAACTAACCAAAATTCCCTAGACAAATGAACGACAATTCACGACATGCGCAATGATTCGCAGTCGTCCTCTTTGATATATTTTTCGATTTTTGGACGCTGGACACATTTACAAACTGTGAGTTTGTTTCTTTCCTCGTTACACAGCAAACAAAATCTACTCATGGACCTAACACCAATGATCTAGTTTACATGCACAAAGATGCGA